CTGCTGTGGACTCCTAAACTGGGACGAAATAGTCCTCCAGTATTCCAAGGTTTTCGAATGGTTCTTTAACTGATGTCAGCTAATGATGAAGTCCCTCGACCGATCAGACAAAACCCCTCCAAAAACCAATACTTGAAAATACTGATATTTATTCGAATATTTCAACTAATTTTGTAACTGTTACCCTTTTCCACTGACCTGTATGTCAACTTTCTAACATTTGTATATCTTATGGCTTGATCTTTATTATTTGTCTTTACTTTCGGTTGACTCCTATCCCAAATGCTTCACTTGGCTATTATGTGTTGAGAGACTGTTGATAACAATATGTTGATTTGCTATTGTGATTTCAATTGAATGAATTCAAGTTTACGCCGTGGACTGACTGCTTGACTTTGGACCATCTAGAAGAGCCTTCTATCTATTCTATCTGATTCTTGCAGACATAGTTTTCATTTTATCTTGTTCAAAATATTTTTATTGATTGTCTTATATTTAAATGGTTACATTCAGTTACTTCATTTCGCTAAATAATGTGCACTTTCTAACTGAGAAACTTATAGACTATATAGCTATCAGACGTCATTGTTGAGATAGTTTTGTGTTCTTTGCAGGTTATTTCTTGGAGGACTACAACCGATATTATTGGAATATAATTTTTGATCGTGTGCTACTTTCAGAAGTTTGTCTAGCCATGTAGAAGGAACTGGCTGTTATCCTGTGTGCAGGCCAATATCCTTGAGATGTTAATGATGATAAAATCCATTAGGCAATATCTCCAAGCCTTTGCATCCAATCATTTAGTGAAAACAACCAATTATTTGCTTTCTTTTCTCCATTTTTCGGTAGCTATTAGGACACAAGTAAGGCTTTTGTGAATAGTTACACGTTTTGTTTCTTAATTAACGGCTAACGCCGAATGCATTTAACGCGATAATTAAACAAAATGTATCCCCTCCCAAAAAATTATCCTCTAGAGAATTTGCCAATCAAAAAGTTGATCAGACACAAAAAACCTGTCAATCTTCTCAAATATGTAGCCGTTTAATCCATACTACTTCAAAAATATATTCTAATGTTGAAATTAAAATCCATGTGAATCTCTTTAAAATGACAAAGCACGTACCTATGTTTTTCATCTTTTATTCAACTAAAAATACAACAGGTGTACACTCATCGTATATATGTTACAGGAAATTATTTTTAATTAGTGCATCTCATAAGCAATAAATAAAGAAAATGTTAAGTTTCAAAAGTATGCTTAGATTGTAAACTAAGTAGTATGTGTTAAACAACCAGCCTTAGTGCAGTGCTCATTTTCCTTTACTTGAAATTCTAACTGGATTTCATTACGGAAGACTATTTCGTCTCGTACATAAAACCGACAGTCATCATTTTAAAATTCAGAGTGCTTTTAAGTATTCCTTATCAGCGAACTTTTGACGCTCACTTCCAATGATTTATGCAGGTCACACATATATTGGGCAGATCTTTCTTTAAACGTTCTATTAGAAAGTGCTTATTCTTCTTTAAAGAAAGAATACGTTCTTTATTTTTGATGTCTAATGACTTGCAATCCTAAATTCACGAATCGTCTTTATGACTGAGGTAATCAAGTTGCTTTTATGCAAGTTTATGACAATTAGAACTTTTATTTCCTTCACGTTCTCAATGGAACATAGGGCTTCAAGCTAGTGGCTTGAAGTTTCTCTAGCAGTGCTTATTTTCACGGAATGAGGTTGCTAGCCTCATCCCCGACCTTTCCTCTTTACCAGTCTTATTACTGGTCCAGCGAGGTGAAGGGGTGCGTCGGTCGACGATCGAACCCCAGACCATGTGCATGGTCACCGAGCGTCCTAACCGCTATGCCACCGACGCACTCAATTAAAACTTAGATGCTACATATTCTATTTGGGTTATGCTTACTGATTATCAATGACAATTTCACTTGCCTAATAGTTAATATTTTCGTTTTATGTGAAATAATCCAAACGATTTACTTTTTTTGCATGAAAAGGAAACTGACGAAAACTTCATTTGCCCTTATGATTTTTTTACGTCAAACGTATGATAGTCTGTTACTATTATTGTATATTTCTGCTCTTGTCGGTGGTTCGTCCATAGAATGCGCTTCAAACACCCATAATATCCATGGTTATAATCCCGGCCGACTCATCTCTAGACTTATCTTTGTCGGTAGTATTCCTCTTGAAGAGGGAGGGCCTGGTGTGAAGCAAGTGAAACTTCTTCGCAAAACAGAATAACAACCCTGCTAATGAAACTTAAAAATTCCAAGGCGTGAAGTCCTTTATTTCCCTCGAAAAGCAAAGAAATAAAGTATTAAGGAAATGAAATGTTTCCCTTCAGCTTTAAAACATGCGGTAACCTTTTAAAATTTAGCATTTCGTATAGCGACTTCAAAGTAATTCAAAAGTGCTGAGTGACTGTATTTTTGTTAAACAAGGGACTAAGTGTTGACCTCAATCTTGTGTGTTTTATTCTTCTCATGACCCAAAAAATTAACTTCTGGAAAGTTTCAGTTCAAAATAAAACGACTATTCAGTGTTCCAGGATTTTTAATATCTCCTTACCTCATTTCGATGAAATTTGCTGAAAATGTAATATTTCTACTGCAAATACCTCAGGATATTTTTTTGCTAAGTGAATGTACATACATGCGTAAGCGTCTTCATGACGCTACAACAATTAAATTTAGTCGACGAGTATTCATGAATTTCCGACTTAATCATTAGTTGCAATACCGTTTCATCAATGTCCACTGTAAAAGATCAGAAAAACGTTATTTTAAAGAAAGTATCAATATTTTTATCGTTTAAAGAAAGCATCATTAGATTTACAGATAGGAATTAATCTGTTTTTTCATGTCGAAATTTGTAATGACGTCCTTCTATCAGGATACGCATTACACATAGTATGATAGACATCGTGTGTTTCGTGCGTCGGTGGCACAGCCACCAGGACCCTCCCTGGCCATGCGCATGGCCCGGGGTTTGATTTTCCGCCTACTCACACGTGATATCGGTGGTCGACCTGCCAAATTTGGCCAACCGATATCACATGCTGAAAATTCTACAGTTGTCCCAAAAATACTGTGTGGTATCTAGCTATAATAAAATTAAATAAATAAAAATAATTATTATCTTTGTCTACTGCAAATCACCATATATTAGACTAATGAAAGCTTGTAAACATCACTAATAGGTGAGCCTACTTTCTATGTAACTGCACCCAACTGGTTACATGCGTGACAAGCTTTTTAATCCCCTAACCTGATATATTTTTATAGATCTTATCTCCTCCATAACTAAAGCTGTTTAATTTTTGGTAACAGATAGCTAAGAGTATTTAATTGGTGGATGGTGACTAGCAATGGAATCCAGGATGCGCATTTCGTCCTGTGTGCGACTCGTCATCCGGATGTACCCGCCTTTCTCAGTGAGTGATGATTTTCCCACCAAGGCTCGAACTCAGTGTCCATAGTTTCAAACGCCAAAGCGTCATCCACTAGACCGCTTAGGCCAAGACAACCACCTCTTGAGCAAAGTGTCATTAAATTAAACACTAAGTAAATGCCCAGACATCTTCGAAGCATCCGCACAAGAAGCCGACATGTCAACCAGAGACCGAGCATTTCTGTTCAATTAATCGACGGGAAAATCTCAAATTCATTTAAAAGATAGCGAAGAGTTCTACTTTTATATTCAGTCAACTGCTGTCAATCACAGATTACGAATCTTGTTAAATAAAGCATAAAAATGTATCTTCTGATCCTAACCACTGATCAATTGACCAACTAATTTAAACGATTAGGTCTGCGTTCGTATTATTTGTATAATAATAATAATGACTAAACTAGAATTTCTACACCTCTTAGAAGTGATAGTGATTATAAACAAACACCCTGAACTCAGTTCATTGAATGAAATCACTCAAGACACAATTGAAAACTATGAAGTAATGTGTTAATGCTTGATAACCTTTATTAGTGCATATTCTAACCCACATCAGATATCAAATGCATATACTTTAGTTTAAACAGCAAAAGCTTAGCCATTCTACAGACTACAGATATCCAAGGATTAATCAGTATTATTTTACAGTTTCTGTAAACCAAATATCTTCAGTAATAAATCTTCACATTTCACTTTTTATCTGTTAAATATGTATTTATTTTCTAATTACCTGTGCGTCGGTGGCACAGTGGTTAGGACTCTCGCCGACCATGCACATAGTCCGAGGTTCAATCACCTGCCGACGCACACCTGATATCTATGGTCGGCCTGCAAAATTTGGGCTACCGATATCCATGCTGAAAATTCCATACTTGTACCAATAATAGAGTGTGGAATCAAGCTGTAATCAAAAATAAAAAATAAAAAAAAATAAATATACCAGCAACTATAGTCTAGGTGATCATCAAATCTAATATTCACTGTTCAGTTAACTATGCAACACTTCTTTTCCAAATAGTTTTCCCAGAGTGTATAATCTTTTTACAAAAGGAAACATGTAATTTTTTCCTTTTCTGGAATTTTTTCAATCTAGGCAAAAGAGAATTTTGTTATTTTAATGATATCAGTGGAAGATTCATATAGGCTTCTTCATTGACCAATGAAATATCAGTATACAGCAAAAGGGTAGTAAATTAACCAATTAGAATTATGAGATAGTACTTTATGCATATATATTCAAATACTGATGGGTTTGAATAAAATAGATTAAGAAATAAATAAACATGGTAAAAATATTAACACATCACACAATCTAAACAAATCATAGTACTATTTACACCTAAGAATGCATTGATTACACGTACACTAGGAATAAATAATTTACACTGCTTCACATTCAAAAGAAATGATGATATAATGTGTTGGATATTAATTACTTAAATTACTGTATGATATTTCAGTTGTATACAAATGCAGTTCAAGAAAATGATTATACGCCTCTAACAAAAGCATTCATAACTTTCAAGAATGATGTATTTAAACAAATTTATTCTGATATTACTTGCAGCATTTTACAGTTTCAGCTTTAACGTTCAATGTAATCTGTATTCTGCCCGTTCGCGAAGGGTTTTACCAGCTGATTCATATACAATATTAGGACAAGCTGGTTTTCGACGCTTAGGTCAGTGTAATATCACTTATGCGTGGTTGATGTCTCCGCCAACATCTAGTTTAGATGCTTATGGACATGCTTCAGCATGTACAAGACTACAGTTGTTAGATGGTCAAATAGTACCCACTTCTTCTTATGATTATCCTGATGATTATGCTACTAAGAGTGATAGAGAAGTGAATCAGGCTGAAAAAGAATTGAAGCATATCAATAAAGAATGGTCAGCGTCTTTAGTTGACTTAGAACGTCTTGATGTGTTGATACGTGCAGAGGTTATCGGTATTGGTCAACCGAAACAATTGGCTAGTGATGCACGTTATTTTTTTCTTGCTGATCGTGTCGGTGATTTAAATTTAATGGCTGTTCTACGTCCAGATAAACAATTAAAGCTCGAATTAATCAACCCGTTGGCTTCGGAACACTTAGTTTTAACACCACAACATGTACTTTGTCTACGTAAACAATGCCCTGTAAATACCCATGAAACAAATTCGAGTGTACCAAAGCAAGAGAATACTAGCACAATTTCTGGGACAGCAGCGACTGCAGCTGCACTGACTAAAGCGGAACGTCAGAATCGTGAGCTTTATATGCAGTTGGTTATCTCACGTGTTGTATGTGCCTTAATAAGCTTCATGTGTGTTGTATTCGCTTTAACATCACTAACTCTGTGCATTCGACTCAGAAGAAGTCCTCATTATTGCAAAAAGCGAATGGTACGATCATCTCAAGCAAGTATTTGTAAAGAGCCACACCCATCACCATCATTCTGTCAAATGAATGGCAAAGTAAGTATGGGTCAGGTATCACCATTGTTCATTACTGATCAATCGCCTAGGCATTTCGGAATGACTCATCTGCAGAGTGAAACAGCCAGTATGAATAATATTGTAATGACAGGGAGCAACATGAGTGCATGTGAAGGGCAAACTGGTCTACAAAATATCCCAATTTCATATTCAGCTCTAGGTCCACAATATGCACAAATATCAGGATATCCAATATCTGGTGGACCTATAGCGTCATATAATGATACATCTGGCTTGATTACAATTTATCCAGTGCCATCGCGGGGTTCTATTAGCTCAACACATCATGGATTATTATTACAATGTCAAAATGGTTCTACTAGTCCAGCGCCATCCACTCATTCTGAAGATAAGAATGGCATGTCACGTACAGGCTCCTTAGGAAGATACTCACGTAACAGCGTCTGTTATGGGGATGGAACGCGTAGAAAAGTTATGTATCAAATGAGAAAATCACAACAGAATCCGTTACATTCAGTTCGACAACAGAATGATGTTTCTACCCCCCTTCCGAATAACCGACCAATTCCTATGTCTCAGCAACAAATCCAATCATTAAAGCTTGAAAATAATAATACTAATAATTCCACCAAACCAGAGGATTTAATCACTTTTCAACAGACACCTAATTTCACTACAGCAGTACATCGCTTTCCTTCTGAAGTACAATTTAATGGAGTGAAAAATATACCATCAATTGATATTGAAGAAGACAATTCAGATGTATTAAAGTCCAGTGCTTTTAATCATGTCGGTGAATCATGTGTTGGTGTAATACGTAAACCTGCTCACGTAAATTGAGTCTAATTGACACACTGCCACACAGACATAATCATAAACATTTATGGAGCACTGTCACTTAGTAAAGTAACAAACTCTAAATGCCTTTACTTATTTACTTGTGTAAAATCACTCACAAGTTTCCAATTCTGCATAAAGCATTCTTTAAATTCTTTAGTCAAACAATGAGAATGAATCTGAACTCAGTTGAACCACCGAACAAAGATATATGTGGTTTTTCAACCAACATGAAGCCTCAAGGTTTATTGTACACATGATTTTTTTATACTAGTAAATGATTTAAACATGGATATATCTGTCAATGTAAGACATAGTCAGCTGCATAAAACACTAATCAATGTATCCATGCTTGTATAATTCTGAGTATATTAACAAAGTCATTTAATTCACTTATTTCAATTGCTGTCAGCATGAATAAAATCCAGACCGGTTTTAAGTGAGTTAACTGATGTTAATAATCTTTAAAAGTTGCATTTCCCCCCACCTCCCTCTCTGTTTTTCTGTTTTGTTTGTTTACGCTAATGTTTTTATAATGTGCTGAACTATTCTCATGCTGCTGTTATCATTCTCTTTGTAATTTGAAGATTTTTTTCGAACAGTCTAATGATCACATTTCAAAATACTAATGAACATGATTTTCTTTATCAGAGAGAGAGAGAGAGAGGGGAAGAGAGATATTTCATTATCACCTACGCATTTTCATTTCCTTTGATCTTCTTTTCTTGTTGTAAACACTTATCACTTGTCATGATGTAATAAAGATTTAAACCATTATTGTTTACTAGTTAGACAAAGTATATTTCAAGACTGAAGGACTACTTGAAGACAGCTGAGGCAGTGGATAGCTATCAAGATAGTGATCAATGCATACGTAGTTATTCGTCGAATGAAGTGGTGATCATTCAGGTTAACCACCTAATATTACTTTACAATTTACCGGATGCCAATAGAAGACAGTGCATCACATTAATAGGAAGAATAACCTTTAACTTTTATGATAATCAGATGAGAATACAGATTTGGAAGTACTGAGTTTTACGAGATAAATTCACTCTAGGCATAAGAGAGAAGATTTTTAGCTCAGGTAGCTGATTAGTATGTAGCTGTGTCGTCTGAGCTGAATGCTTTGCTTGCGCAACTGAACCAATATGCGAACGCTGTTGCCGAAGAATAAGAGGTAACAAATTTGCCCTACGCTATAAAAATCATTTAGATGCATACCTGTATTTACTACTTGTTATCTTATTCCTTTGTAGTCCCCTTGGAACATAGGGCCACAGACTAGAGCTCTGAAGCTTCTGTTGCAGCGGTGGGGTGGCGTCGCTTGTCACACATCCAACCTTCCCTGTTTGCAGGGCTTAAAAACGTCTAGGCGAGACCTAGGAGTGCATTGCCCGGGGATCTAATCCCGGACCACATGAGCGGTTGGCGAGCATTCTGCCTCTTCGGGACCGATATAAGGTGCATACCTGAATGAATAGGATTCAATTTCTTTATTAAAATATAATTTCATGAGGATTAGCTTTTTGATGTAGTTCTGGCATTAAACGTACCCCGTAATTTACGATTTTCTGCTGTACTGAAATTTAAATATGGAAATCCGGTGACGGATAATCAGTTGATAGAATCTACATGTTCGTTTTGATAATCCATCAGCCTGATGAGTTATACCCTGCTGGCTGTTATGGTGATACAAGCTACCTTCGAACTACAACCTCACAGCAATCAGTTACGGTGACTTAGACACACCTCTACAGTAGACATAAGACTAAGGTCGAAACAGGACGTGGGTTTAACTGCAATTCACCAATATATCCCCTTATTATGGTCATTTTACATGGTACCTAGCCTCTATCAGTGTTGAAGTCTTGTGAGTAATGATAGTGAACATTGGCCCCAAAGTACATTCCCTTTTTAATGCTCGTCAGTTTTACAGCTTGCTTAACTTATCACAGCTAATTCTTTTGATGATGATGGATTGTAACAATGACCTAACTCATTTCTAGTTATTATCTTAGAACACAGTGTGAAATTCGTTACGCCTAATTAATCGTGAGTAAACTTAAATACTGCTTAGTGACAGTTAGAGTTCAATAATGATGTTTGCTGATATGAGGTGATTTTAAGCAAATGGTTTGCAAAGAAATCAGTAGGCCATTTTTGAAATTTTACTACACTTTAAAAAGTCATGCAAAAAATCATCAAAATTTAGCGAACTCCATGTATAAAGTGACAAATGTTTAAGGTAATTCACAAGCATTATCCGGTAACCTTTAATCACAGTGGGCGCTATGACCTATAAAAATGAATATTCGTGGTTCAAGCTAACGAATGGGATTACATCAATGAACATCCAGTTTGATGTGGTGTTGTGTTTTCCACTTTTAAAACACTCGTGAAGTCATCAGAAAACTTGAAACTATTATCCTACATATAATAATTCATTTCCGGTATTCATGTTTGTATTGCTTATATTTTTCTTGTAATTGGGTGAAAGGCCATGGACAAATTCTTGAAAATGTGAAGAATTATGGATTTGCTTTCATTAACAAATTGACGAATATATTACGGATGTTTTCACTAAACTAGGTGATTTAGTATCTTTTAATGAAAACGGTAATTTGATAGATAACTTTACTCAAAGATTTGATAAAAAAATTTTCAACTTAGCAACCCAGTTTGCATACTGAATATTATTCACATAACGTTTAGCTTCGAGGTATTACCTCATGTTTCAGTCAATCCTACAGTATACTCAGAAAGCAATAATTCTAACTAAACCATTAAAATTCTTATGCATGTATTTGTATACAATATATATATATATATATATATATATATATATATATGTATGCATAATAAAGTACAGTGACTGGTACATGAAAAGTGGACAACAAACCATTTAACTTAAAGTTATAAGGGCAATATATAAACATATACATTGATTTTTTTCAAGACCAGTAGTTTATTTGATAGTTAAAACCTACTGGGTTGTTGACCATTGCTTAATAATATGAACTCTACTTGCGCATTTGACTACCCGCATATTTTTAAATCTTTAGATTATTTAAGTGTGATAAAATATATAATATCTTAATTTCTTATCACCGTGGGGGTTAAATAAGTGTTAACAAGCTGAAACTTACTTAACCTTTCATACCATACACAATGGTAGTCTCATAGCAGTTAAATTATATACCAAGCTGTTATTAAGCATACTAGTCATTATAAAGACTTTGTAAAGAGTGTTTTAAAGGCGTCAACTACAATTCCTACAGAGACATATAGGAAATAAGTGACAAGTTGATTTTTGGCTTGTAAGAAATGCAACTCATAGTGCATACTTAAGAAAAACATAAAATTATGATTACCACTGAAGTTAGACTTTATTTTATGGCATAAATAAACGATGGGTTATTTCGAAGTTTCCGTTACAAATGCTTCTTTGATTCGAACTTTAATTTCAACATAAGTGCTCACCTATTTACATCGACTATATCTGTAAAATTTAAGTCACTTCACATATTCTTATGACTAACTATGCAATTTTTCAAGACTCATCTTTCAGTTTTCCGTTTTCAGTGCAGCTGCTAGACACTGCATACACTAGACCTGGTGTTAAGCCATTCTTTTAAAAGTTATAGTGTCGAGAAGTGAAAATTTCCATTCTCTAGGTGTTTGAGGATTTGAGGGAAATCAAGATAGTTTCTTGTACAGGTTGACAATCAGTTAAAAATCATTTCGCTGGACAGGTGTCCTTTTCTATGTTTGTGACACATAAATTATACACACCCATAACCCCATTGAGATCTCTCGGTAACCAGTGGAGCATGTTTAAAATTCACTGATCAGACCGGGTATCTTAAGTGTTACGACGTATATATATATCTTGGTAGAGAGACGTTTCTTGAAAATAGTTAATTAACAGTTGTGTTGTTGGGGTGGTAACAAAACACAATTAGTGACAGTTACGCAATTACATAAGAGAAGACCAAAAAATTTTAAATTTCGGTGCACATGAGGTCAGATGAGAAGTAGAGTGAGCAGAACTGAGAAGATCAAGAAAAATTATCTCTTAAGAGAGTCAAGCGAAAAAAGGAGGGATGAAGGGAAAAGATAAGTTAACAATATTAAGAAAATTAGAAAACAAAGAGTTACTAAGAAGTAAATCACTAGGGTAATTGAAGTCCAACAACGGATTCCTTTTGAACACAAAAGTCTGGCTTCAATCGTTTTATTGCTATAGCTTCAGCAAACCTGAGAAGACTTGATTCCAGCACACCTACTCGGTGTCCTATGTAAATCAGGTGTTTGGCAATTGAAGAGCTTAAACAATTTGGTTCCTTCAACCGCAGGCTCCTTGGTACACGTCCGTAGAATCTAACGTAGGCCCTCCTTTCTGTTCTTCCAATGTAACTGCCCCCTTAGATACATGTGAATTGGTATACACAGTTGGAGGTAACATGTGAGGGGCACTAGTCAATCTTTGACCGCAGTAATGAAGAAGCTGTTCGGGATAGGGAGACTAATAACGCTGCAGGATACGCTCCTAGACAAAGCTGCGCCTAATCTTTTATTTACCATTTTCACAATGTCGCTGCCCTTGTAGTCGAGTTTGATGAAAATAGGCTTCTTACTGTCTGTAGCTTATCAGGCTTCTTGAGTTCATTCTTGCCATATTTGTTAATGAAACTTTCTGGGTAGCCATTTTCTTTCATGCTTTTTTCAAGAAGCATTAGTTCACTATCTAGTTTGTCTGGTGAACATATTCTCTTAGCTCTAGAGAAAAGCATTTTCAGTAGCGTTCGTTTGTACCTCACTGGGCAGAAGCTATTGAAATTCAAGTAAAGACCACTCCATATCTCTTTACAATATACAGATCTTTTGGGTTTCCCGTCGTATTTTCTTTTCAAATTCCAAAAATGGAATTTTTCATCATCTTCATGCTCCATCGTTAAAGTGACGCTTTTGCGTACATTATTGAAAGAGTCTAAAAGAGA